AGGCACCATATGTGTTTAGCCAAACGTATGACGGGAAAACATTCTCCATATCGCACAGAAGTTCACCTGCCTGAACCACTGGCATAAACCTTGAAGGCCCCAGATCAAAAACAGCTCAGACCTGATAACCAGATTATTTTGTCTCTGCAGATGCATTCATGGCATCCATGTTGAGAAAGCTCTGGTCTCTAGTTGTCTGGTGTATTGCCAAGACTCCTCATGCAGGCTGCCTGTGAGCAAGCCAGCAAGCAGGCATACACAAGGCAGCTCCCAAACCTCTCCCCAGGAGTAGTACAGAGCAGCCCATCAAGTCCTTATCTTTAAAACACCCAGCTGTGGATCACACAGATGTTGGTGTAGAAGAAACTCAAAGTGGACACCAAAGTATCTCCAGATCTACTCTGTAAGGAGGGCTGCTGGCCATGTTTCCTGTGCACATCAGGCCTGTACTGAGGCACACTCACAGTGAAGTGCAGAGAACAGAGGTGTCAAGGACTGCAGTCTGCATCCCATGTGTAAGGGAGCTAATTGAGCACTGGCTCACTGGCCCCCTGCTTTTATGCAGGGCTGAGCAGGTAAAAAAGCAAAGCTGCTGGGAGCACCACATGGAGCCAAATGTCCACAGCCACTGACACGTGAGTACAACTTCTTTTGGTACAGGAGCCCTCATAAGGCAGTGTTGTGTGATTGTGTGTAGTTTTTTCACCTGCTGGAAGCTCCCAGAGGAGTAGGCATTTGTCTGAGAGCAGTGGCAAACACCACTAGGTCAGTCAGCAAACCATGATCTTCTTCCCACACACACCAGCCTGGCAACTCCTGGAATCTGCCCAGCCCCAGCATCCACGCTCAGGGGCCCTTTGCAGCACCAGGGCTCTCCCTGCTGTGGGACAGCAGTAGAACATCCAAGTGTACAGAGGTGCCAGTGAGTGAAAAAAAGTCTTAACACCAATATTAAGTCTTTGAGATTAACTACCCACCCCCCCACCAAAACAAACCAACCAACCAACCAACCAACCAACCACTCCTTTTATGCAAAAAAGCCTCCACTTCAGTGTTCCCACAGAAAATACTACTTGGGATGGTTCTCCCATGGAAAGACTCTAATTCCCATGAGCAAGCATGATGCTGCTATAACAGATGTCTGCCTCCCTTTGCACATACTCAGGACCATCTGCAAGGATCAGATGTGCCTGAGGGTGAGGCCCCCAGCCAGAGGCACCCAAGCCAAGGGTTAGCTACCTTACCTTCCTTGTCCTGGGATAAGCCACCTACAGTCACGGGGTCAGGGTACTTTAAACTATGAACTCTTTGCTCATCTTGAACTAGACCTTGTGCTGCATGAAAAGAAGAAATAGTCTTTACCTGTGCCTCTTTCACTGCAGAAGGAGACTACTTTTAAAGAGTGGATGCAAATCCTAGCCCTTGTCTCACCAAGGTAATTTCTGTTTGGTGCTAACTCTGTGGGGGTCACTGTGAACAATAACAGAATGGGAAGGTGTAAAGCTCAGGTTACTCTAAGGATGCCAGCCTTGAATCAACAATTTATAAGGAAGAATGTGGTACAGGCATTATTTTTAGAAATAATGCCTGTGGTACAGGCATTATTTCTTTTCTTACAACCAAACTGGAAGAAGCAAACACAGGAGAGAAACAGAAGGATGAGGAGATTGTAGGCAGTGATGAAACCACAATCCATGGCAGCAGAAGAAGCAAGGGCAACATCTTTGTGAGGATAGCAAGCTGAGTACCCAAAGTGCAGTGGCAGTGTGACTGGTTATCACTGACACCACCACTTCATCACTGAGACTGGGGAGTTTAAGTCACTCAAATCTCTAGTTAAATCGGACGTCCTTCCCGACTAATAAAAGGAGAAAAGTCTATGTATTACTGAAGTCTGAACACATTTTCTTCTCTAAAGAGTGGGAGAATTCACTCACCTCTGTGAACACAAACCTGAAGTACCACCCACCCCCTAAGTATTTGGTAATAAAATAAGAATTGCCTCATATCTCAAGCACTGATTTTGTTGAGCTCCTTGGTTCTACAACATTCAACTGGTTCATCCAAAAAACTACTTCAGCTGAAGGCTGGACTGCTTATTTCTCCCCCCTGGGGTTGGCTGTTCCCATCTTCTCAAGCAGGAGTCCCAAAGACTCATACCACTTTACCTCTTCCCCAGCAGACAGAGTTTCCAGCCACTGGGATACTCACAGTGTGGGAAAGTATTGTTCAGCTAGAGAGGAAAGGGTAATTGGGAGTTAATTTCTTAATGACAAATATATATATATGAATAATCTAATTTTTAAAAAAATAATTTGCTTAAAAATAAATAGTGTAATATTGGGGAGGAGGGGTTGGTTTTAGCATTTGACAGAAATTGTCTTATCAGGTATAGCATTTAAATTGGAATATGCATTTCTAGAAATGTTTTTTCATTCTATTGTGTTGAACAGCCTTGAAAAAGAAGGAAACATAAATGGTTTAATATTTAAAACCTTAAAATCTGAACAGGATTTTTTTTTTAGTTTCTGATAGAGATAGGATGAGAAAGAAGAAAACAAGAATAGCCTTAAACTAAGAATTTAAAGCAATGCAGTGAATTTTAAGAAAAGTACTTTCTCTTAGATTCTTATAAACTTTTTGGTTTAGTGTCTGAACACAGTGCTCCCCTGTGGGGAATAAATCATGTTACTCTGAAAGGTGAGCACAAACTGCTCTTTGCTGCCAAGCAGAGGGGCCTTGATGGCTTGGAGAAAGGGGCTGTCAGGAACTGCCTGCAACTGAACCAGGGCAAGGGCCAAGTATGGCACCCAGGTGATTCAAACACAGAAGAGCCAAGAAAAAAAAGTCTCTGTGAATAAAATGGATTGAACGCAGAAAGGTTCAAAATATACCCCAAAACTTGACTAAAAAAAACAAATTAAGTTAGATTTTGTGCCAAAAAAGTTGATATATTTAATTTAATAGTAAAAGCGGCAAATAGAAGGAAAAAGAAAGAAAGGAATAGAAAAAGGGGAAGGTGGGGATGACACAGGGAGACAGTGACTTGGATTAGGTAGAAACATATCACCCTCCCAAGGGTCCCAATGGCATCTTGTTGCTCCCCTCCATCTGGTCTTTTTGGTGGTGAGGATTCCCCACCTCCTGCTGCTGAAAAGTATAGAATTCAATGGATTAATATACATTTGGGCCAGGTGGGAATGCTCTCTTAACTCCCATTCAAGGAGCCAGTTTGACACTGTCCCTTGCAACACTGTGTATCTGTTGCATCCTCTTTTGGTGCTCTGGTGCAGGATCTGGAGACTCCTTTGTGGGGGTCTTTTGACAGGCTATGACTGGCAGTGGGCAGCCTGCCAGCAGGGAGGGATGGGGGCACCTCCATGTCCTTGATCCTTGGTCTACGCCAGTGGAGGTCCTGGCAGAGATGCAAAGGGCTGCCTTTCACCCTCCTTGGGCTGTGCTCCCAGAATGTGCAGTCAGCGGGGTGAGCTGCTGTAGGAAGGGTGAGGGATGGAGAAAAGGCTCTGCAGTGTCTCTGAAGGAGTGGAGTGGGTTGGGAGCCACCAGGAACACCACCATATCCATGCTGGCAGTCCTTGAAGGAAAAACCTGCCTTGAAGGGCAGAGAGCTCAGGAGGGCAGAGGGTTCCAGCTCTGCCACACTCAGGCTGTAGATGCCAGATGGAGGCTCACCTGTGGCTTTCTAAGCACAGCCTGGTTCTTGCAGGACAGCCCCATGTGGCAATGCTAGGGCACTTTGCTGCTCACCAGGTTAATACTAAAGACCTTTCAATGTTTTGGTGTCACATGTTGCACTCTAGACTTGTACTTTCTTGTCCACTTCCTTATGGCCCCCATAGATTCCAGTAGCTCCCAGACCAGCATTTCCTTTTTACCTCAGTGTTTCAAGAATTCTGAGCTTGGTTCAGCAAAGCACTGAAGTGTACACACAACGTAAGAAAATACATCACCCTTTTTATGAGGTTATTACTAGGTTTTGATATATATAATATTATATAATCTTGTACAAACTTCAGCTACAACCAATAATATTTTCCTGTCACTAACATTATAAGAAAACTAAACTGTTAATATGCACATGAGTTGTGTGCAGTGTGTGTGAGCACACAGCAAATGCCTGCAGTTTCAGCACTCACACACATCTGTAAGTTGATGGATACAAACGTGCACACACACAATAATCTACAGAGAGCAGATGCTCCACTGTCTATTGCCATGTCCACAGCACTTCTTTAAATCAAAACTTAGACTGAAGGCTGTCAGCCACCCAGAACAAAACATCCTTGAGTGCATCCCATTCAATCATTCTGATTGCAACTGCTTAGTAAACACACCCTTCCTGGAGATACTTCATTTGGTACATTTACATTTATTATCTAATGGTTATTTTAACGTATATTTGGGGTAATCAATTAAAATAGCCCAGCAACAATCCTTTCCCTGTATTTTCAAGTGATCAGAATACTCACACTTACTCTTTTATTCTTCTAGACACAGCTTTATTTCACTGCACTTTAGATGAAACTGAGTAGTGATTATATTTTCCTTGTTTTCACTCACTATTTTCCACAAACTAACTTTATTTTGGCTCTGACATGTCAAGACACCAGAGCATTAGTTAAAATTCAATGAAAACTGCAGTCTTATAGGATTCAAGCCTATGCTTTAATGCTTTGCTGAAATTAGGAATCTCTGCAGGGAGACACATAGAAGTTTGGTAACAAATTTAACTGCGCCAAGAGTCTTACATTTATAACTATGTATCAGCTAAACTGTCAACATATTTTCTTTCACAGTTGCAATAGCAAAACTACCAAATCAGGGTTTTGTTTTGTTTTTGGTTTTGGGGGTTTTTTTTAAGTTTTAGTTATGGGAGAATACTATCAGCTGCAAAATCACCAAATTTATAAAGTCAGTAACCCAAAGACAGATATAACATCAAACAGGCTTTGATATGAGAGAAAACACAGGAATATCTGTACTGTTCTCTTTAATAGCAAATTATTTTTAAAAATAAAAGCAAAACAAGAAAACAATTCTTTAAAAAACACTCAGAATTGTTATACATAAGCTTAATAAAATAACATTACATAAACTTTACAAAAAATGTATTTCTCAAGTAAAACTGAGTTAAGCCATCACACACAGCATATCATGACAGAGAAACTATCATCAAGACCACCTGGATCATTCTAGTTTAATTTCTACCAGAATTATTTGTTAGGCATAAACTAGTTTCCCTAAATAAAAAGAACCTGATATAAAATTCATGTTGTCAGTGTTGTAAGGTGAATGATAAAATGGTCATATCTCTATTTCCAAACAGTCTGATTTGCTTTTCTGAAGAAATAGATCCTGTCTTTCTTACAAGAGAACAGAGGGGGAAAGATTTTCAAAGTTGAGTAACACTCACAGGTATTTCATGTTCCTGTGAAGAAAAATGATAACATTACATTTCCCTAGAATTTAGTTTAATCCTTTAAATTATTCTTATTGATATCTGTAAGTATTTTAAGCATGGAAAATACCAAACTTTTAAGAAAAGGAAAGAAACAAGAGCTCAGAAGTTATAAATAGAAACCAACAATAAAGGCACCTGTGTCATTTTACCTCACTATCACCCACAGTTATTTTATCAATTCTGTTTCAGGCTTTTGTTGCTGTTGTTGTTGGGGCTGGGGGGGAAGATTTGGTTGGTTTTTACATCTGCTAACTATAAATGTCTTTTTAAATCCCAGAGAAATGAAATGTACTGGAGCATAGGCTTAATTGCTATCACCAAAAAAAGGAGAAGCATGCATACTTTGCTTAAGAGCTTGGCTAAATTAGGAGCTTATTTTGAACAGATCACAAATGCAATATTCCTTTCAGTCTTTGTCAGAGAGCTCAACAGAAGCTACAGGTTTCACAGACAGAAGGTTTCAAGAAGGTTTCACAGACAATTCAGAGATGCCACAGGGCAAACTGTTCTAACCCAGTTCATACATTTTTAACACGTCTTTTATGCCTACATTGCCAAAACACAGAAATATGCTGAAAGATCTCCACAAATTTCTATTACATTGCAAAAATGTACTTAATAACTAGTAGAAGAAGGGAAGATGTTTGTTTGAGTTTCAGTTATGACAAGTGCTCTTCACATTCCTTAAACAGTGCTTCAAGTTCAATTTGTTCATAAATGTAATTCTTGTATTAATGGCATGAAATCAACAAAAATGACACTAAGTTTCTTGTAGTAGTAATTTACTAGCATTAATGATAAGGAAACCCACTATTTATTGTGTATAATTAATAAAATTATGCTCAGGGCTGTATTTCTACGAACTACAAATTATTCCCATTACTAACAGAGAAATGATAAGACCAATGGAATCAGTGTCATTAAGAGAACAAATACTGTGGATCAATGCCTTATTTACTAAAGCATATTAAGCCACAGCCTATCAGGAGACAGCTTGCTCAAAAGGATGATGACACACTTCCAACCATTAAGGCTATGCAAAGGGTTCATAAATGCAATAATTGTTCCTGACTTTTACAGAAAGCTGGGTGGGCTCATCCTGATGTCTCACATATTAAATGGCTCCATCAACAGCAATGGTTTCATGGAAATTTCAGTCTGAATCCAGATGTGTTTTTTTTTTAAATTTCATTAATAAATTAAGCTTCCCTTAGACTGAATTATAAATCCATTCAAATTCAAATTTTTAAACTAATATACTATGTACTCTTCCTTTGTTTTTTGTTCATGATGACAGTAATTCACTATTAGTGAATCAGTGCAGGACAAGGCACAAAATTTTCTGTTTTAAATGGAAACAAGCTGCAGTATTGCAAGCTGTCCACATGTATTCATAGTGCTAAATAAGTGCTATTTATGCATGCAAAAACCTAATAATTCTAATTAATATACTGAAAATAAACTATTTAGTGACATTGAACTGGTCCCTCATTATAGTAAGACATTTTCTGCAAGCATAAATCCATTAGGTGAGGAACATACTCTAGTTATATCCTAATGTTATACCTGGAAATGATACTTATCATGTGGAATTTTAGAGGAAAAACTACACATGCCCTAGTTAAAATGTGAAAAATAGTTTATTTTCATGAACAAATTGATAAAGAAGTTTTGACATTGAATCTGGGTGCGTCTCTTTTCCTTTCCCTGGAACAGTGAAATTTTTGTGGTTGTTCTATTGCTGCTAACTATCTGATACCACAGAATAGTTCATACATTTCTATTACTACTATAAAGTACTCTTGTATTTTCCCCCCTCAAATCCTACCAGAAAATCTCACCCAGTAAAAATAATTCTATGTTCTTCTAGGAGATATAAACACTTGTTTTTCATCAGTCCATAGAGCATCATCATCTCTCGACTCATGATGTGAGTACTCAACCTTCCTTCCTTACCAATCACAAAGAACAACATGCTTTTCATTTAAAGTCTTATCCTTTTTCATTTTCTGCTCCTGATATTTTTCTTCTTTATGCAACTGCTGCACAGTCATTGCTCTGGTCATTCTTTTCACTTTCTTGTGGGCTGGCGATTGTCACCCTTGGGCTTGTGGATGTTTTTTCAAGACCAGGATCAACCTCAGGAAAAAGGACAGGCACTGTTAACGTCATAGGTACCAAAGATTTCACTTCATTTCAATGCAGTATTAAGCTCTTCATATTAAAATTTCCACAAGGTATTCTTAATGTGAAAAATTCCAAGAGTGATCCTGTTAACATTTTTTATACTTATATATCTTCTAAATGAGAAAGCACTCACATTAGAGGTTCCTCCCTACAGTTCTTTCATCAAGCATCCAGTTACCCACATATGCATTTAAAGTGAACACTCACTCACTTTCTCCATCTCCATAAATAACTTCAGCTTATCTAAAACAAAAAAATTTTCAAATATATGAAGCACAGAATAAATTCAGAGCCCAAAAAAATGTCATGTTACTCAGCTCTCTCAGTTGAAAAATATTCTTGTGTGTCACACAGGAACAGAAGAAAGCCCAGTTGCAAAGTGCAAGAAACCACTCCCAGTGTCACAGGAAGCAGAGGAAGAAACTCTTTCTCAGTAGCCTGTAGGCAGGGAATGTGCAGCAATTTGCTCTGCTTCTGACACTCATGAATCCCACTCTTCCCAGACCTGGATTCTCCCTATCAAACAAACCACTTTGTTTCCCACACTCTGTGAGCTGGTCAGTTCATCTGACAGTCAGGGGAGTTCTCCTTATTTATGTAGGTTGCATCCCTCCATCTAAGCCAACAGCATGTTACCATGTATCCTAAATTAACAGGATATTTGCTTTTAAACTGACTAAACCCCTTGCTTTGAAGGATCTTGTACATATCCACTGTATTTTTCAATTTCTAAGAAAAAGAGATGAAACTTCCACAAAACAATGGCAAAAGCTCTTTATGAAATGCAACTTTTGTGGAAGTCAACTCATCAAGATAATGAGGCACTGGTGTCATGAACACACCCTTCTGCTCTGTCCTAGAAGACAAAGTAGTGTAGAAATATATAATGATTCTGCTTTTCTGGAAACTGCAAGAATTTTTTTGCATTACTTTTTTTTTCAAAATTCAGCATACTGAATATGCTTATGAATACATAAGGAAAGTAGTAGATGAAGATTCATAAAATAGTGAGAAACATCTGCTCTCTCAGTCAAAGGGCATATAATGTAATTACTGATGTAACTGATGTGTACAGATGAAAAATAACTTTTCCACAAACCAAAGTTCTCATAAATGGTCTCAGGACTTTATTAGAAATTCACTACTTAGAGACCAGATGAGAACCATAAGGCTGAGATGAATGAGGAACAATACCATAAGAAAAACAGTTTGAAAGAATAAACACTCACCTGGTTCTCACTGCCAGAATCCTCCTTTATTTCTTCTTCAGGCTGAAGATCACCTTGGTAGTTCAAATGCTCCATTCCCTCACCATTTCCTTCATTGTTTTTGCCATTTAAATGGATAAGTTCCTTTTCCTCTGCTTGGTCAACATTCTGTGTTTCTCCTTCATCTTCATAATTTTCATTTAATTTCTTTTCGTTTTTTTCCATTTCAATTCTTTCTTTAACAGTTTCCCCACCTTCTTCTCCATTCACTTTTGGATATTCTCCTTTATATTCCTCCTCTCCCCTGTCATCTTCCTCTTCTACATTTTCTTCTTCATCAACAGTTTCTGCTGGTCTCTGGTGAAAGACAAAGCAGCAGCATTATGAGGTATTTTAAATCAGAATGCTGCACGCAATTCTGAAATATGACAGACATCAAATTCACAATTACATCATTACTGAGTAATAAGTATGCTAATTTTGTGGACAGAAAATTGTGCTCCTTTACTTACACCGAATAATGCCCTTTGATTCATTTCCAAAATGTGTTGGTGAGATTTAAATTTACTATATGGAGTTTAATCCATTTGACCACACTCAAAACAACTGGAATGAGCTAAACTGAATTGACACAGCAACAGCTTACTCTGTTCTGTCTATTCCAGGTTCTCTGACTTTCTAGCATCTAGTACATACTTGTTTATAAAGTCCTGTCACAAGAAAATACCATGTACTACTAGCCTACAAACTGTTCCCCAGAAGCATTTCACCTATGGACCAGGACATGCCATGACCATTGGTGTTGTCTTCTTTGAATACACAGAAAAGTAGTTAGAGAGATGAGGCAGACCTACAATTGTTCACTTCCAAGACATCATTCCCCTTCCCAAAGATCCCTATGTAGCGTGGCTTGGTTAAGTTTTGCTGGACATTTGGCAGCAATGTTTTCCTACACAGAATTGTACCAGCAGCCAGAAGAAACAAGATCTTGCCTCACTTTGTAGAAAAGTTATCAGAAACTCACTATGGATAAAGCTGCTGGCAGCACCATCTCATGACAGCCTGGGAGATGGATGCACAAATTGTCTGGTCTTTGTCATTTGCCCTCCAGTTTCAGCTTTGAAGAGTCACCTGACTATTCAGTCCACCAATGCTCCCACCTGCCAAGATTACTTACCTACTTGGGCTGAGGTATGAATGAAAATAAAGTGAAAAAATCCCACAGGAGCCACAAGGTATCTGCCTCCCAGACTCATCAGACTCTAAATCTAAAGCAAACTAGCTGAGAGCAATAGATTATTTCCTAATCAAAATTGTTTGGAATTTTACTGTCCTCAGTAGCTCCTTCATGCAAGCAGCTATCTGCGACACAGAAGTAAGTTGTCTTCTAAAAATTTCTTTTCCTCATTAGTCATAACATTTCAAAAGAATTCTCTCATCACCTTCAATGTATTAAGACCCAGTACAGTAAGATCAAGAATTTATTGAAGCCTCTTGATGAAACCTCTTGATTTTCCTTTGATATCTAAGTAGAAACATAAGACTTTATTATGCCAGTGCACAATGCCATTATTGGCACAGCTGCAAAAAGAACAAGTTATTGTGCTGCAATAATGCACAGAATATGGAATTACCAGGAACATGGGTACACAACCAGGTAAATAGTGGCTCCATAAATGGTTTTTGAAGTACAGTCATTTCTATGTGTTTTTTATTCAAGCCTTTCTGACTCACTTTCATCTAGTAACATCAAACTGGTCTTATTACCACCAAAATAAAACTTTAACAAGCCACGTCTTTACAGAAACCTTCAAAGAAGGCACCATCCAAAGCAAACTTGATTCAACCTTCATAACCTACAGCACATAAAGATAGCAAAGAATCTGTAGATCCATAAATTCTCAGAAGTTACCTGTTACTCTTAGACATAGTATCTACTAATTTTCTTTCAGTCTGCTAAGGAAATTAGAAGCTCTGGATTCTGACAAGAAACAGGGGAGGGTGGGACAAATTACATGCACCAGACACCACTAACTAAAACTGTGTTTGGTGTTACTTAATGACACCTACTTGCCATGACATTACACACACTAAATAAAGGGAGGATAAGAAAAGTCAACACATTCTTTCTCAGTTAACTTTGTAGTCATCCAAGACATTACAATTTTCAGCTTTTTGGTAGTGGGTACAAGCAGAAATGAATATATGCTCTTGCCTGCATGGCTTTAGTATCGTGGCTCATTCTGGACTGCAGAAGAAAGCGTGTGGGCTTTATGCCATGGTGTAAACATGTGTATTCCAATGCTTTTAACTGGTTTCACTGCTCTGGAAGCAGTCTTTGGTATAGAGGCAAAATGAACATTTGAGGGACAGTGGCTTTCTAAAGTGCTATGCTAGCTAGACTCATTTGACCTTATCTGTCTAAAATAAGTGTGGGTGCAAATTTTGAAGAGTTAAATCTGAGCAACATAGAATATAAACTCAGCATTATTGAACTGTACACAGAAACTCACTGAAAGCTCACAGAGAATAGTACTGGCATGAAATAACATTCAAATTCCAACATATTTAACTTGACCAATCAAGCTAAATTGCAAGAAAAATAATAGTAGAACACAAGATGAGTAGAACAACTCCCACCAGTGCAACTATAATATTTTTATAGCAACTGAAAATTTCAAGATAGCTGGGCATATTACTACAATGTCATTATTATTACAGACAAAAATAAAAAGCCACATTTTCAGCTTTTCATTTGGAAAGCAAAACACAATCTTCATTTAATCTCCTTTCAAGCTACACTACATAAGAACGGGCATTTCAAACAAGTTAAAAATCAATATTGATTCAGAGTAAAAGACTTTTCACAAGGTAATTTGAAATCTAGTATGGTTCCCTCTGCATTGCAGAGTCAAAGGTAGCCTTTCAAATGTGAATGTGACCACTAACTGTGCATTTCAGACTGCACAGCAGACCTAAGACAGGACTATAGGGAGGAAACTGAAGGCCAAAATCACCCACCAAATAGTACATTGCTCTTTACGTAAAAAGTGTGATACTTTCTACTGAGATCTTATTGACCTACTTGCTATGCATAAATTAGCATTCTCTATTTTAAGTACACTTTCCTCACTGAGAAAGAGGTATACTGAGAAAATTTTTCATATTTAGGGAAAGAGAATATTTATCTGCATATATACACGCAGGGAAGAAAACAGAAAAAGGGAGAAAACCAGAGGTCTTAATAGTACAAAGCCTGTAAGTGCTATACATGCTTAACTTTACCTTCTTGAACAATTTTAGTGATAGCAGTGATCCTGAAATAGTGAACTAAAACCTACATTAAAGTACTTGGTGGGTCAGGGTGCAATTTAAAGTCCCCTGGAGTCACTGGGAACCTTTTCATTGAATTTGATGCAGTCCAGCCATACCTCCACCTATGACTGCACAAATTGCGTATTATATATGCACCAAAATTACCACAAACTGTGCTCCCTCAGTCAGAATAAAGCAGGATGGGCACACTGAAAGCAAAACAGGTGTGCTGACTAAGACCTATCTATCCTTGCAGAAATTATCAGACTCAAGTCAGCAATGACCTTGTATACTGATGTGGAAGCAGTGACATTTCCCATCTTAGTTTTTAGCTTTTCATCAGTCACCTTTCAAATAATCAAAATATTCTTAGTCATAACTTCCTGTATGGAATGAATTGGATGGATAGCCAAGACAGATGTGGTACTCCTCTTCCTGTTGCTCAGAAGTCAAGAGTTGAGCCTTCGGCCATTGTGTTGGCTCACAGGAAGCTGTCCCTCACATCTGTGGTTCCTATAAAATCTCAGGGCATCTCAAATTCAGAGAAACAGCTCTGGATATATCTCCAGGCCTGAGTGCCTCAATCACCTCTATGTAACACAGTTATCATAAGGGTATTAAGGATTGTAACAGAGAACAAAAGGCACATCAAAAATTCATGTTGGAAGCAACCAGCCAGTTGTAGCCCAGTGTAACTGAACATGGATACTGTAATGAACTACAGCATAAATGTTCCTGCATTAGTTTAGTCCCATCTACACACCTCAAAAAACAACAGCACAACTTGAACTTGGACTGGAGAAGCATTCCTATTCCTTAAGGTAATTTTCACAGTCAAGTGAGTTCTAGAGCAGGGAGCTTTTCCAGTCGCTGTGCTAGATTATTCCAATTCCTCCTATAGTCAGAACTAATCATAATAAGGTTTGTAATTTTGCCTTTTGAATGGTTGGAAGAAAATAGGAAGTAACCTTCCTTTTTGCATTGCTGGTTTCCGCTTTTAAGCAAAGGTGATGCTTTTGCAGTTCCATGCTTGAAAGCACATTACTTAAAATAACTAGTTTTCAAACCATACCTGTGTGAATGTGAGAATAGTTCTTTGCTTATCATGGACTAGCAATAAAAAGACTCACTAACAAAAGACTTGTATATGCACATTGAAATGCATAGTCAACCAAAGGCATGCAGAAAAACTGAAGCAGTTTCAGCTTCTTGCTGGAAATATGGACCCAGCTTGCCTTTTGGAAACCTCCTGACTTAACTAACAGGTTGATGAGAAAGAGAGCCAATTTCATTTTGCATTCAAGAAGTATGATTGCTTGACAGTATTTTTAATCTCAGCAAAAACAGTGTTTAAAAAAGAAAGACATATTCTAATTACACTCATAATGCCATCTTTCATTAAGAGCTACATTACCAAATGCCATCATCACTCAAAAGCAGCAAGTCAGGAAATCTTCAGACATTGAAGCATTTGGCTTCTTTTCCTCTAGGGATGCTAATGCAAACCTCTCAGAAGGTTTGTACATGACTGATACTGAAAAGTGCAGTATCACAAATCATTTAAGGCAGAAATTATTTTGTACCATTAATATAATACGTAATTTTGCTTTATTGAAGTAGTTTGGAAATGTTTATTTGACTAATGGTCACAGCAGACAAACAATGTGGCAGACAACAAAAATCTTAATGGTCATGAAAAGCAGCATGAATACATCTTACAAATGCAGCAACAGGAACACTTGACTTCAAGTGCACCAAAGCTCTCCAGAACAGAGCTCCCCTGCTCCTACTCAGGAATGTTTTGTAGCAGCACTGCATAGATTCCAACAGCAAAACATTTTGTTCCTGAACCAGAAAGTGTTGCTAAGTGACAGCAGCCCTCTTCTCTTCCACATCATTTACAAAACCCAGACTCTTGAAAACAAGCAAATGAATAGTTAAGGTTCAACTGTCTTACACTTCCCACATAGTTCCCACATTTGCACAAAACGCACTGTTGTTCCCGAAGGCAAAAAGACTATATCCCCACAACATTTAAACTC